ATTGGTTTATACAATTCGATAAAGGAAGAAGATGCATTAGAAGCCCACGAACAAATTAAAGATCTTACATTTAATGACAAACAAATTAAAGCTAGAATTAAGACCGAATCACTTATGAAAACTCCAACTAGACCAAATGGTGCTCCACAACAACCATTCACCCCATATCAATCACAACACCAAGCTGGTTCATCACACACTAGATATTATAATCAAACAGGTTCAGCTAAACCATGGAGAAATAATTATAACAATAGCAATGGTTATTACAATAATAATACATCAGCCGATCAAACTAACGCCACCACAACAACTGAACAATCACACCAACCACGTAAATACAATAATCGTAGAGAAAATTCAACTAGACCACAAAGACAAAACAGAGACCATTATAATAACACATATAACAATAGTCAAGCTTCAACCTCTAATACCGCCGCTACCACTCCAGCTACTACAGAAAAAACTACAGAAATCACCACAACTACCACCACAACCACCACAACTACCACCACAGAAAAAACAACAGAAAAGCGTCATATTGGTTCAAGAAAACCAAAACAACACACCAGCAATGGTAATAATATAAATAGTGGTTCAACTCAAGTAGTTCCAACCGAAAGAAAAGGTAGCAATATCCATAAAGCAAAGAAATCAAAGAAAATAATAAATCATTCAAATACCGAAACTGATTCAAAAGAAAAACCACAACAAAAACCAACCCAACCACAAACTCCACCAGGACCACAACATTTCCCACCATTAAATGGTAAAGAAGGAACTAGTGTAGAAACAGTTGTTTCTGAATCAACTAAAAAGGAATGGGGTCCAGCCGATAAAAAAAGTGTAGTTCCAGTTGACACTGCTGCCGCTGCTGCTGCCACCACTACCACCACTACTGCTGCCACATCATCACCATCAACCGCTGCTGCTGTTTCTACTACTCCAGCTCCAGCCAAATCATCATCAAGCAAAAAATCCTCACCATCATCCCAACCAAAGAAATCACCATCAAAAGTTGAAGATAAAAAGAGAACCTCTGAAAAGAAAACTTCTGATAAAAAAGTTGAACCAGCTGTTGCTACCCCATCAACTTCATCACCATCAGCTTCATCACCATCATCTGATGAAAAAAAGCAACCAACCTATGCTGATATGATCGCCATGGCTGCTACCAACACTTTACCAGCCGCCACTGCTACTCCAGCCGAACAATCCACCACTACTACCCCAGAACAACAATAAACAATAATATAATAATCACAAATCTATAACAAAAAAAATATTATAAAAAAAAACAATCAATCAATTTGTAGTTTAACATCAAACAGTAGCATCTTCTTTTCCTTTATCTTCAAAAAAAAAAAAAAAAACCAAAAAAACTCACCAACAAATCTTTAGAAACCATATAAAAAATAGTAAAATGATATAATAAACAACACAAAATAATAACAAAAATAATAATAATAATATAATAATAATAATAATAATATAAAACCATCAATTTCTTTTTTTTTTTTTTTTTTCCATTATTAAAATATTCCACTAAATTCTCTTTTTTTTTATTTAATTATTCTTTATAAAAAAAATTTAAAAAAAAATTAAAAACAAATAAAACAAAAAAAAAAAATTAAAAAAAATAATTAAGATATCTTTTTTTATTTAAACTTTATAATAAATCTTTTTTTATAATAAAAAAAACCATTTTTTGGGGTTTGTTCAAAGGGATTTTTTTTTTTAATTGAGATTGGGTTTCCAGGGGGTTTTGTTGAAAGCCCAAAGAAGGGGTTTTTTTGATTTTGGGGAAGATTTGGCAAACAAATATTTTTTTTTTTTTGTTTTTTTTTAAAATAGTGTGGATAGTTATTTTTAACTGTGGTTTAAAAAAGAATTGGAGGATAAAATTGAATAACTTGAGAAGATATTTTTATTTCTGTATTGGATGGCCTGATACTGCACAGAAAAATAGTTATTTATCTACCAAATAAAACCATACTCGCTCTATTTATATTATATTAGTATTAATTTATTGTTTGTTTATTTTAATAAATACAAATAATCAAAAAACTATTCCATTTATATTTATTTTTAAAATAATTTAAATATTTAAATAAAAATAATTTAAATTTTTTTTTTATTTTTTTAAAAATATTTTTTTTTTTAATTTTTAATTTTTTTTTTTTTTTTAAATTTTTTATTATTTTTTTTCATTTTAATATATTTAAAAATTATTTTTATAGTCAATTAGCTAAATTCATTTTTTTTATAAATAATTATTTAGTAATATTACAATAAAATTTAAATTACAATAAAGTTTATAATCAAATAATCAATTTTTGTATATAGAATCATTTGCATTAAAATAAAGATTTTTTTATTTAATTTTTATTTTATTTTTTAAAATTTTTTTCACATTAAATATACAATTTTTTCTCAATAGCTTCTTTATTTTAAACATTAAATTAACAATAAACAGTTTAATAGTAATCAAATACTCCTCCTAATCATATATTTAAATTCAATAGAAGTAGTATATTTTAATAAATTGTGGGTATATATTTTATAACAAATGTGCCAATAATAAAATAGTTTTTACTAATAAAAATTTTAATTTTAAAGTATAAAATTTCAAACAAACCAAGAAATTTAAAAGTTTTATAATAGAAAATTTAAATTTATATAAATAGATACAACAAGCATACCAAAATACACAATAATAAAATAGGTTTAAAAATAAATTTAAAAAGAGGGAAATAATAATAAAAAATACAAAGATAATAGTAGTACTCAAGCCACACCACAACTTTTTTACATATAAAAATTTATTTTTTATTTTTTTTTTAAAAAAAAAAATAAATACTGTATTTATATATTAAAATATATTAAGGTATGTAAAATTTAAAAAAAAAAAAAAACTATTAATCCCACACTCACTATATAGTCACTATAAATATTATAATATATTATATCTCGTAATTTTTTCTTTTAATGTTTTTTGTATTATTTTCACCCAATTGATACATAAAAAAAAAAAAAAGCAAAATTATTGTATGTGTGTTAAACATTTTATTATTTTTTATTTTTTATTTTTTATTTTTTTTTATTTTTTATATTTTTTTAATTTTATACCACACATATAAAGTCAATAATATTATACACAAATAATAATAAATAATAAATTTAAAATACAAAATAGTTTTTTTATATTTAAAATTATAATATTTGGGAAGAGTACACATTTTTTTAAAAAAAAAATTTCACCATAATATTTAAATAATAAAAATAATAATAAAATAAAAAAAACAATAATAATAATAAAATAAAAAAAACAATAATAATAATAAAGAAAAAAAGGAATATAACAATAGTACACCCAAATTTAAATTAATATAGTTGATAAAAGAACAAATTCACTCTTCAAAAAAGTAATAGCGATTATACAAATAAATATAGAACAATTATTATATTATTTTAATTTTTAATTGTTTAATATAATTTTTTTATTTATTTTTAAAATATTTTTTTTTCTTTTATTTTTTGATTATTATATTTTAGGAACAAAATATTTTATATATAAATATAACTAATTCATACAACCAATATATTAAAACTTTAATAATAAAATAATATTTAATAATATAATAAATAGTATAAATAATAATAATTTCATTTTTTCATAATTATATACTTTTATTTAATCAATTCTTTTTTTAATTCCATATTCTTTAAATTAACGATAAATTAATTTTAATTTATTCATATAAAAAAAAAATTGGATTTTGTTTTTTTTTTAATTATTTTTTCCTTAGTTTTCACAAATATTTGCTAATAACCTTAATTTTTCATCCCAAACGTCCATATATAAAATTATAATTTTTTTTTTTAATATTTAAATTATTATTTAATTTTAATTTTTTTTTTTTATATTATTTTAATTTTAATTTTTTTTTTTTTTTAAATATTTAAAATTTTAAATATAATTAATATTAATTTTCAAAATTTATTTTATTTATTTTAATTTTTATTTGTCAAATCTCTTAAAATGCTATATTGTGGATCTATAGGTCATAACAGTAACTATAGCTCTAGTAATATTATGGCCACAAATCAACAGAATATAAATATAAATAATAGTAATAATAGTATAAATATAAATAATAGTAATAATAATATAAATAATAATATAAATAATAATATAAATAATAATAATAACAATAATAATGGTAATTCATATGGGGAAAGTACAACTTCAACTTCAATGATACCACCATCTATTACTACTTCATTAACACCAACACTATCATCCCAACCAAGTAATATTCATAATATAAGTTTACACCAACCAATATTAACCACACAACAAGTTTTATCTCCAATGATGGGAAGTAAAAGAAAATTAGAAGAGGATCCAATTCAAGGCGGGGGTTTATCAGGAAATGATTTTTTATTAAATAGTAATAATGGGTTAAAACCAATTTTAGTTTCTTCACCATTGGCCCAATCACCTGGTTTAACATCGATGCAGATGGCTTTTGCAAATGCATCTTTGTCAACTTCAACTCCATCTACACCATTAAGTATGTCACCTTCATTGGGACCTTGCTCAGCTCCAATGTCTCCTTCAAAAAAAAGTAAAAACTCAAGAAATAGTAAATCGAAATATCTCAGTACTTCGACTGAAGATGGCCAAAATAGTAGATGGGGTAACACTACAAATACAACTACAGGTAAACCATCAAGCCCGGGTATAGTCAAGGGTCCATGGAAAGATGAGGAGGATGCAAAATTAGTCGAGCTTGTTAATAAATGCGGTCCAAAAGAATGGTCTTCTATTGCAGCCAAAATTCCTGGTAGAATCGGTAAACAATGTAGAGAGAGATGGTTTAATCATTTAAGTCCCGAGGTAAGAAAAACCAATTGGACAGCTGAAGAAGATAAGATCATCATAGATGCTCATGCAACTCTTGGCAATAAATGGACAGCTATTAGTAAGATGTTGGACGGTAGACCTGCCAATGCAATTAAAAACCATTGGAATTCCACTTTATTAAAAAGAATTGGGGGCAGCGAATCAAAATCCTCACCTTCAACTTCATCTAACAACAGTAAGGATATCAAAGAGGAGGATGACGATGAAGAAGAAGAAGACCAAGAAGGAAGCTCACCAGTTTTATCACCAATTTCGCTATATCAGTCTGATCTTTCTCAACAAGGTCAATTAAATAACACAATACCACCATTCGCATTATCATCAAGTACAACCACTACAACCACAACTACGACCACAGCAAATAATACATCAAATACCCCAACAACCAATGAACCATTAGTTGCACCAAAAATAATTAGGGCACAAACAACCCCAAATTCTTCACCTTCACTCTCATCTAAAAAATCACATGATAAACAAAAAGTGCCACAATCACCTAAAACATTAGCTAAAAATCAACAACAACAACCAGTCGTAATTTCACAACCACACATCCAACAATTACCAATTGATCAACAAATTCAAAATATTCAAAGTCAATATAACCAACAAAATATTCCACTACAACAACAAAATGTAAATATTCAACAACAACAACAACCAACTTTAGATCAATATCAATATCAACAACAACTAATGCAACAATACCATCAACAATATCTTCAACAATACTATCACATAAATCAACAAAATCAACAAAATCAACAACAAAACCAACAAAATCAACAACAAAACTTTAATTTGCACCAACAACAAGCTCAACAACATATAACACAACAATCACAACAAAATTCTTTTAATAATGTAGATATGCCATTTTCAATTGGAGGTACAAATTCTAATGTGCCACCAACTTCAATCGAAACACACGAAGTACCTTACTATTATGATTATTGGGGCGCTTCAAACACAACTACCCAACCACTTATTTCACATTCTGATACAAGTATACCTACTTCAACCTCAACTACCGCCTCTGGCGGATTTACACATGAGTTTTCATCAATGGACCCAAATAACGATTTTTTACTTTTTGATAGCGATCATAATAGAATACAACCTTTACAACAACACCAACATATTAAACAAGATCATGCGCAAATAAGTCATTTACCTTATCATCCTAGTCCACAACAATCACAGCAACATAATCTTTCTCAATCCCAACCAGCCGTTTCAACACAACAACAAGACCAAGGTTATATAAACTATGATATAAGTAGTTTATTTAATGTTGAAATCTAAAAAAAAACAAAAAAAAAAAACAAAAAGCATTAAAATCATGGTTTAAAATTTTTTTTTTAGACAAATAAAAAAAAGATAAAATAAATAAAGTTTTTGGTGGTTTTTATAACTTTTTTTTTTCTTTTGTAAAATATCAAAAAATCAAAAAAAAAAATAAATATATTATTTTTGTGTATATAATTTAAATTGTTTTGGAGTTTTTTATTTAAGTTTTTTATTTAACTTTTAATTGGAACATTCAACTGAGTTGTAATCTTCATTATCACAATTTTTAAAAGTGTTAATTTTTTTGCATGAACCACCTTGACAAATATTTTCATATGGGACACCATTAATACATAAATAAGTTGTTTGTAGCCCAGATTTATCTATTATTGTTGTACCATTGGTGGCATACCAGTAACCTTGAACACTTTCACAAGCATCATATTGCTTAACTAGGTATGATCCTTTTGGAATTGAGGGCATAGAATCAGATTTGTCTACATAGTAGTAGCTATTAGAGTAACCATAACTGGAACATTGATTTAGAGTAAATATTTTTGAAGCAATTGGATAGTCACAATACAATGAATGGTGAGTAGTTAAATTTATTTGGTCTGAATTATAAATTTCGAAAGTGAACAAAGATGTTGATGCAGAATTGCTACTTCCATTATATAAACAAACAAATTCATTTATACCAAAGCTTACCCCATTTGATTGTTTTATGCATTTATTATCAAAAGAAATATAATTAATAAAACCAAATGATAAATTAAAATAAAATAGAGCAGTTATTATTAAAATTATAAATTTCATTTTTATTAACCCTCTATAAAAATTAAAAAAAAAAAATTAAAAAAAATTAAAAAAAATTAAAAAAAAAGTAAAATTTTGGCAATTATAAACATTTATTAACCCTTAATTTATAAATAATTAGATATTTCATTTGTTGGCCTTAATCATAATTAATATATACTATTACAAATAATGGAGATTTAAATAAATGGTAATTTTCTTGATAATAAAAAAATATTCATTTTAGGGTCTTGGCAGTATTGATTTCCAGAGCTTTGAAAGCTATGTTCTTAAAATGAAAGGGGTTACTCAATAATTTTTATTAAAATATTTTAAATAAAGTTAATTTTTTATTATATAATTTTTATTTTATTTTTTTATTTTATTTTTAGAATCTTTTTTTTTTTTAAAAGTTAATATCAAATACTTCTTTATTAATGTTAAACTAAAATACAACAAAACTAATATAAAGCATTGTTTAGCATTCTAATAAAAGCAGCACCAAAAAAGTTATTTTCTTTGAGATTGTGTCAATTTTTTAAGTGAATTTTGTTTTGATTTATTTCTAAAAAAAGTGAGTTAAAAATCACAATTAATTATTAAAATATATTATATTTTCATATATCAATAAATATTTTGGGTAAATTGGTAAGTGTAGTGATAATTTGTGTTTTTTTAGAAACTAATATTAGTGTTTATTTTATTAAAACTTGGTATGTGTTAATGAATGTGTGTTTTTTTTTTTTTTAGAAATTATTATAAAAGATACTATATTTGTGTTTATTATAATTAAACTATTTTTGATATAAAATTCATTTACATTTTGTATACCCAAAAATTTTTATAAAAATGATATTGGATCCTTTTAAAACAAAAAAATATACACATACAAAATCATATCCATACATATACATTCACATGAATATACACATACATACTCATATTCATATTATTAGTGTAAGAGATTGTATTTTTTTAAATAAAATTTTAAAACATAGCAGGGTTAAAAGTTTTTTACCTTTTCTTTTTTTTTTATTTTTTTTTTAAAGTAGTAAAACAAGTATTATTTCATTAAAGTAAAAATATTTATATTTTAAATTTAAAATATAAATAATTTAAAATATATTTTTAAATATTTTAATTCTTTATTTTGTTTTTGTTTTTGGTTTTGAATAGCTCATATATAAGTCTAATGCCAAGCCGCTGAATACCATACCGATTGAGCTCCATTGTAAATTATTTAAAGAGTGGCCAAAGCAAATAATTGAAACTAGAATAGAAAAGAACTTTCTGGTTGTTGTAATGGTACTACAATTTAATGAACCAAATTTATTTGTTGTTAAGAAAATAAATTGTTGACCAAGAGCGCTAGTAATACAAAAGGCTAAAATTAAGAGAATAATTTCAGGTTGTTCGATAATAAATTGGATTGCTGGAATGAGTTCACCTCTGGCGATTGCAACTAAAGTTAAATAGTTAAATATTAATACTAAAAATAACAATTGTATTTTAAATAAAACTATAGTTACTTGTTGTGAATAAAAATAAATTCCAAATATTTGTATTTAACATCATTCTAGTTGCAGATGGTTTATAAACCTTTACTAAATTATCTTGAAATGGTCCCATTATACCATCCATCATTAATGAAACGAATAAAATAAAATTACCAAAAACATGGTTTGATCCTTCATTTAAAATATTTTTTTTGTTTGAAGATCCTACTAACTAAACATAAGACAAAAATAACTATATTAGTAATTTATTTTTTTAATGTATTTTAAAATACTTACCATAAACAATGAAATACCAAGTGAAATTAAAAAAACAACAACATATTTTAAAGGTGGATATTTTCTTTTGAATAAGATTAAACCCATAAAAATAACTGGAATTGGTTTACATGATTTTGCTAAAACTTGGGTTGGGTAACTAATATAACGAATAGATTGGTTACTTAAAAATGTTGAAATAACTAAAAGAACTGAAACAAAACCATATTTTCTGAATGGTGCTTGATCTCTTGGTTCTCCATTAAACACACAAACAATCCAAGCTGAAAGCATATTAAAGAAACATTGTAGGGCTAATAAAAATGCTGTGAAACTAAAAACTTTTTGATCTGGTCCATATTTATTTAAATTTCTATATAAAAAAAACTATAATGGTTAATAATTAAATTAAAAATAAAACAATATGATATGGAATATATTATAATTGATTATTATTACTGTTTATTATTACTGTTTATTTTTATTTATTGCTATTGTATTGCACTACTATTATTACTATTATTATTATTATTATTATTATTATTATTATTATTATTACTATTATTATTATTATTATTATTATTATTATTATTATTATTATTATTATTATTATTATTATTATTGTTATAATATCATAAAAACATAATAAGTGTTTTAAATTTTATATTATTACAATTTTTCTTGAGTAATACCATAAAGAAGATAGAAAATATATATACCACCCACACAAAAAATAAAGAATAGCTCTTCTTTTAAGTGTTCTCTAAAATATCTAATTTTAGCTTTTATCATTATCTTTATTTTGCAATCCTTTCTAAATGAAAAATATGTTATTATAATAAAAATGACGATGATGGAAATTTTTTGAAAATTTTTTTTTTTTTTTTTTTTTTATAATTTTTTTTTAATAAATTTTTTTTCTTTTGATATATTTTTTTAAAAATAGTTCCAGGATCCACCATATTTATTCCAACTTTTTTAATTTAAGAAACTGCGCACCAAAAAAACCTGATAATGAAACCGAGATAAATATTTTACAATTAGGTTAGCATTTGAGTAATATTTTACAATCACTTACCGCCAGTTTTTTAGCAAAACATTTTCATTACCTAAAATTTTAACCAACCCCCAAAATACATCAAATCTTTATGGAGATTCGATTTGTAATTAATCAATTTTAATAAAAATAATTACAAGAAAATGAAAAGAATAAGAATAAAAAAACAAAGTTTTATTTTATATACATATTTAATTTATTTAATATGTTTTAAAATTAATTTATTTAATATAAATTTTAAAATTAATTTATTTAATATAAAATTTTTTTATTAATTTATTTCTATTTATTTGATGGTTTGTTTTGATATTCCTAAAATTTAAAACAATTAAATTAATAATAAAGTTTAATTTTTTGATATTATAATAGTTTTACTTACTTGTGATAAATCATTTAAACTTAAATTTGATGAAAAAGATTGGCTAAGAGGAATTGACATATTAAGATTTGAAGATGGCTGATATTGTTGTTTTTGATTATTATATTGTTGATTATTATTGTTATTATTTTTTTGTTGCTTGCCATTATTACTATAGTTTTGTTGTTTATTAAAAGAATTTTTTTGTTGTTTTTGATTATTGTGTTGTGGTGATTGCAATTGTTGCTGTTGTGTTTGTTGCTGTTGTTCAATTTGTTGTTGCATTTGTTGTAATTGTTGTTGTTGCTGATATTGATATTGATAGGATGAACCAGTGTTGGCGGTATATGATGATGGAGTATAAAAATTATTAATACTATTTGAGGATGAGGATGAATTATATAAGGTTTGACTAGATTGAGAGGAATATCTTAAATTATTTGATTGTGAAGAGTTATTGTTGAATCTTTGGTTAACACCATAAACCATACTCATACCATAGTTTGGATCAATATAGTTATTATCGTAAATATTATTAACATTTTGACCTGGAATTGGCATTTTACCTTGACCGTAAAGTTTTTTTGGTTTTTGTAAAATTACAGCACTTGGTTTTAAATTGGTGAGTGAGCCCTCCACTAAAACATTCTTGTTTTTGAAGTGAGAGATTAAACTATTCCAAAGTTGATCTTTAGATAAAACTCTAGCATTACCAAGAATAATTAAACCAAAACGTGAACGAGTTAAAGCAACATTTAATCTACGTGGGTCTTGAAGAAAACCGATACCTTGGTGATCATTTGAACGTACACAGGATAAAATAATATAATCTTTTTCACGACCTTGGAAAGAATCGACGCTAGCCACTTCAATATTTTTATAGAGTTCGAGGTTGAGTTTACCAGTTTTTTGCATAAAGCTGGTGATATAGGCACGTTGGCCTTCATATGGTGTGATGATACCAATTTGGTTTGGAGATGAACCCAATTCGAGGAATTTAGTAACAATTTTTTCACAAATTGAAGCTTCGGTTGTATTGATAAATGAGGTACCAGAAGCACTCATTTCTTCAGAGCCAGTACAATTGTAGAAAAACATTGGGTCTTTTGGTTGTGGCCATGGGAATTTTGATTGACTGTCACGATCGGTGTGTGAAAGTTCACTAACAAGCTGGCCCTCATAAGATGTGTTTGATGGGAACTCGGTAAGAGATGGATGCATACGATATTGGATAGTTAAACGCTCTGGGTGATGGCCTAAACGAATAAGACGTTCAAATAATGATTGTGAAAGACCGGCATCAACGACTTTTTTACAAAGTAGGACTGGGCCCAACTGACGATGATCACCTACGAGAATAACTTGCTTGGCACCCATCATGAGTGGAATTAAGCATTCTGGTTCAGAAGCCTGGGTACTTTCATCGATGAGAATATGTGGGAATTTAAATTGAGAGAGACGTGGATCACCAGCACCAACACAAGTTGTACAAATTACATCAGCCTTTTTGAGAATTGCCAACTCCATCATACGACGAAGATAGATATAACGTCTTTCATCTTCGTTATTTAACGAACCAAACTCTTCTTTAAGGTTTCTAAGTTTGTAAAGTTCACCATCTCCCATTTCATCAAGCTTATAAACTTGTTTATGAAGAGTTAAATGCTCTATTGGTGAGGCAACCTCCTCTCTTAATTTACTAGAGAGACGAACTACTTTTAGACCAATTTCGTGAAGTTTACCGGTTAATTGATCAATGGCAACATTTGATGGGGTACAGACCAAAACCTTTTCATTACCTTTAACATATTTGACAAGATGATGAATAATAAAGGATGAGATAACAGTTTTACCAGTACCTGGTGGGCCTTGGATTAAACTTAATGGACTGGTTAATACCTTATTAACAGCATTTGTTTGGGATTCATTAAGACGTGGTAAGTTTTTAATATGAAAGTTGGTTGGTAATTCTATTTCAAGTTTAGTTGGTGGAATTTCTTGATGACCCAAAAGAGCATGATAAAGATAACTTGATAAAGCTTCTTCTTTGATTGCAAATGACTTCATAGCGGATAAAATACGTTCTGAACTAGTTGAACGCCAAACCATTTCCATTCTATAGGAACCTTTGTTGCTATCAATATTACATTTGGTTTTAGTTTCTAAAGAGAGCATATTTTCATTATCGATTCTAATGACACGACCAGTATCTTCCCAATCAGCAGAGCCAGTTGAGTGACTGATAAATTGAAGCTTTAATTCATCACCTGGTACAACTTTGAACTCCAAATCACTACGAGAGAATGGAAAAGTGGCAGTATAACGTTTATTGATAGATTGTTCCCATTCAATATGGATATTGCTTTGTGAGAGAGATTCACGAAGTTCCTTTTCATGTTTAGCCTCCAATTCTATAAGTGGTGAAATAATTTCTTTATATTCGTAAGCATCTTTATAGGCCAATTGTGTACTTGCTGGTTTTTCATCGTCACTTCTAGGTGCTTCAATATCACGAAGGGTGGCCTCTGGATCATTTTTCCAAAACTCCTCCAATCTTAAAATTTGTATTATACTAATTTGTCTTGAACGTTCGACATCATGTTGTGATGGAGTTTTGACTAACCAGCTACAAAATGCCTTTTCTGCACCATTGATTAATGGTTGCCAACTAGACATATCCCAGTTAACCTCTTTTGATGGGCCACTTGCACATGGATCTCTGCAAAGTAAAACTACAACTGATTCTGTTTTAGCAGTAATAAAACCCAATAAAAATATATTTTTACAACCACAATTAAAACATTCTAGTGTTGTGTCACCAAACGAAGATTCTGGATGCAATGAAATCTCTTTATGTTTTGATTTAACCAAATGTGTTATAATATGTGATGACTTAGTTCTACCTTTACCATTGCAAAACCATTTGCCACATGAAGGGTGACAACATTTTACGACTGTAGATAATTCGTGAGTTGAACAATAACTAAATTATTAAGAAAAAATAAAAAAATAAAAAAATTAGTATAACAATCTTGATAATTATTAATATTAAATAATCTATATCTTTTACATACGCGCATGCATGAGGTGGTAACTCTACCTCTTCTTGTGGTGGCTCTTCAAAATTTAACTGTGAGGTTTGGTCTAAAAATAAAGCAGATTGAGAATGGATGTTTTGGGAATTTAAAAAGTCCATATTTTGGGTTGAACCATCAGTTGAGTTAAAAAATGAATTTAATAATGGGTTATTTCCTTCATCTGCCTCGTCGGACTCCTCATCATCATCATCCTCTTCAATGGATGATTCCTCATCATGATTTAACTCTCCATCACTTGAGGAATTGTTGTTAAATTCATTTGAGTCATCATTTGAATCTTCATCCTCTTCATCCTCTTCTTCGCTACCTGTTACATTATCATCTTCATAATCATCTTCATAGACATCATCGTTGTCATCATCGTCATCTTTAAATTGAAAACTAGAATTTACATTATTTTCATTTTCAATAATATTATTTTTAAAACTATTTTGCTGCTGTTGTAATTGTTGTTGTTGTAATTGTTGTAATTGTTGATGCTCTATGTATTTATTACTTTTAGAATTTTGTAGTTCAGCATTATCTGCTTTACCAATATTAAAACCATACATCTAAAATCTTTATTATAAACTAAATTTTAAAAAAGTACTTTATATATTTTAAAAAATATATAATTATATATTTATATATTTATTATTAGTTAATGTTTTTAATTATTATTATTATTTAAAAAAAAAAAAAAAAAAAAAAAAGAAAAAAAAATTTTAAAAAAAGTTTTTTTTAAATTTTTTAAAAAAAAAAAAAAAAAATTAAATTTAAATAAAAAAAAAAATTAATTTTAATTTAGTTTTTAAAAAGAAATAAATATTTTAAGTTTTATTTTAACTATATTAAATATAAATAAACCAATTTGAATATTTTAAAACGAAAAAACCAAAAAATAAAAACCAAAAAAATAAAAAAGTAATTATAAAAAAAATTTTACATATAAAATTATAGTTATTTCCTTTTTTATTTCTTTTTATATTTGTAAAATTTATATTCTATTTGAGAAAATAATATTGTAAATGTATAAATCAATAAAGTAATAAAGTAAAATTTCGAAATTCAAAAAATAAAACTATGAAAAAAAATTAATTTTATTTTTTTTTTTTTTAAAATTTTTTTTTTTTTTTTTTTTTTTCAATTTTTTTTCACTTTTTATTTTTTTATTTTTTTTTTTTTGTTTTTATTTTTTTTTTTATAATATCATATTATTTCTTGTATTATTTTATTTTATTTTTTTTAAATAAAAAATGAATAACTTAACAAGATTAGGAAATCAATTAAAATCAACTAGTAAATTGATCAACAAAAATGTTGTAGGTTCATCAACCCCATCATTTTCAACTGCTGCCACCCAAATGGCTACAGCTCAAGAAAATGTCAGAACCTATGGTGGATTAAAAGATCAAGATCGTATTTTCACCAATTTATATGGAGAACATGATGTCTATTTAAAAGGTGCCATGCTTAGAGGTGATTGGTATAGAACTAAAGATATTATTGACAAAGGCAAAGATTGGATCCTTAAGGAAATGATGGCCTCTGGTTTAAGAGGTCGTGGTGGTGCTGGTAAGTTAAATTAATAAAAAAATAAATAAAACAAAATAGGATTTAATCTAACATAAATTTAAATAGGTTTCCCATCTGGTTTAAAATGGTCATTTATGCCAAAAGTTTTAAAAGGTAGACCACATTATTTAGTTATCAATGCTGATGAAGGTGAACCAGGTACATGTAAAGATAGAGAAATTATGAGACACGATCCACACAAATTAATCGAAGGTTGTTTAATTGCTGGTTTTGCAATGAAAGCATGTGCAGGTAAGTAATTAATTAACGAAACCATTTCAATCAATAATATATTAAACTAATTCAAAAAAATTTTAATTTTTAATTTGGAATTAATTATTTGAAATACAATAAACAATAATCAATGCAACAAATCAATTTAAATTTTCAAATATTTATGAAATCGATACAAACAAATAATTTTTAAAAAACAATATCAAAACCATCATTATCAATATTATAATATTTTTTATTTACAGCTTATATTTATATTCGTGGTGAATTCCATTATGAAGCTAAAGTTTTAGAACAAGCAATCGAAGAAGCTTACAAAGCAGGTTTAATTGGTGAAAATGCATCAGGTACTGGTTATAAATTTGATGTTTACGTACACAGAGGTGCTGGTGCTTATATTTGTGGTGAAGAAACTGCTCTCATTGAAAGTTTAGAAGGTAAACAAGGTAAACCACGTTTAAAGCCACCTTTCCCAGCTATGGCTGGTCTCTATGGTTGTCCAACAACTGTTACCAATGTTGAAACCGTTGCAGTTGCCCCAACTATTTTAAGACGGTAAGTTAATTTTCAACTATATCACATATAATTACAAATTAATTTTTACTAATTATTGTAATTTTTAAAATTAGTGGTGGTGCCTGGTTTGCAGGTTTTGGTCGTCCAAAGAACGCTGGTACCAAATTATATTGTATTTCAGGTCATGTTAATAACCCATGCACTGTCGAAGAAGAAATGAGTATTCCACTCAGAGAATTAATTGATAAGCATTGTGGTGGTGTTATTGGTGGTTGGGAAAACTTAAAAGGTGTTATTCCAGGTGGTTCATCAGTTCCAGTTCTCCCAAAAAATATTTGTGATGATGTTTTAATGGATTTCGATGATCTTAGAAAACACAGATCTGGTTTAGGTACAGCTGCTGTCATTGTCATGAACAAAGAAACTGATATGATTAAAGCAATTGCAAGACTTTCAAAATTCTATAAACACGAATCTTGTGGTCAATGTACTCCATGTAGAGAGGTAATTATCAATCATTCATCATCACTATACCAAATTTAAATTAAAATCATATTAATCGATATCTTTATTTTTAATTTTTAGGGTACTGGTTGGTTATGGGATATCACTGAACGTTTAGTTACTGGTGATGCAAAATTAGACGAAATTGATATGTTAGAAGAAATCTCCAAACAAATTGAAGGTCATACTATTTGTGCTTTAGGTGATGCTGCTGCTTGGCCAGTTCAAGGTTTAATTAGAAGTTTCAGACCAGAAATCGAAGATAGAATTAAACAATTCCAATCAAAACAAAAACATTCACCATTTTAAAATGTATTTAAAAATCATATTTATAAATAATAATAATTTAAAATAATAATAGTAGTAATAATATGAAACAATATAATAATATGAACATGAAATATAAATTTTTTTTTTTCATTAAATAATAAATAATTCAAAAAAATATAATAGTATAAAAAAAAAATAAAAAAAAAAAATAAAAATAAAATTCAAAAAAAATTTTAAAATATAATTATAACCATAATGAATGCATTGATTAAAAATTTGTGTCATTTTATTTATTCATTTTTTGAAAATAATTTAATAAATTATTCGTTTATTTATTTAAAAAAAAAATTAAAAAATAAAAAATAAAAAAATAAAAAACGAAATTTTTTTTTTTTTCAAACATTATTATTATCATTTCTTTTCCAAACAATTAAATAGAAAATGGGAATAGATGGTCTAAGTAATTTTTTTAAAACTGGTTATAAAGAAAGTCGTTTTACCAATTTAGAAATTGAAAATGTAGATCATATTTGTTTTGATCTAAACAGTGTTTTATATTCACTTAAAAAACCAACAGTAACCAACATTTTAAACATTGAGGAAAAGTTGGACCAAGAAATAAGGAAGTTTAATCCAAGACAATCAGCTTTCTTTTCATTGGATGGTCCCGCACCAGTTTCAAAAATGCCACTTCAAAAAGAAAATAGAATAAAGGTAATAAATAATTTTTTATTTTTTTTCAATTTTTAATTTTCAATTTTTAATTCAATTTTTTTTACAATTGTAATATTTAGAGAAATTCAGAGGTTATAGAAAATTTAAAGTATTTTGCAATTCAAAAAAAAGAAATTAGTGATGATAAAGATAAACATTTATTAGAATTTGTAGACGATAATTTAATCGAAGGAACAGAATACAGGTCAAATATTTCGCCAGGCACAAGATTTATGGGTTGTATCAAATCATTTCTTTATTATTATTTAACAAAACAAAGATTAGGTAATTTCCCACAAAAAGCATATATATCAGGAGCAGATAGAGCTGGAGAAGGTGAATGGAAAATATTTGAATATTTAAATAATTCAAAGTATAATGTAAATGATAAAGTAGTAATTTTTTCAAGGTAAATATAAAAATTATAAAAAAAACAAAGAAAAAATTAAATAATATTTTATTAACATTTCCTTTTGTTATTTATAGTGACTCCGATTTAATTATTTCGGCATTACTTTCGAAATTTAATTATATTTTTTTATATAATGGATCTCAAATTATAGATATATCAAAAATCAAAGAGAAATTTTTTAAACTTACAAATTCAGAAACTGATGAAGAAAAAAGACAAGTACTTGTAGATTTTACAGTTTTATCAATGTTTAGTGGAAGTGATCATTTCCCAAAGTTATTATTTTTCGATTTAAAAAAGTCATGGGATATCTATTTAAAGTGTAGTAATGGTAAAAGATTGTATGATGAAAAAACAGCCGAATTAAATTTAGAACTATTAAGAACAATAATTGAATACACAAAGTATCCAGCTCTAAAGGAAAGTGCTAGAGTTGTTGAAAGCAAATCATGGGACATTGTTACACAACTTTACGGTCTATTTTCAGAAAAAAACTTAAGACTTACAGGAAATTCAATTTATTTAGAGGGAGAGTTACTTCATACAGATATTAATCAAAAAGAAGCAGTTTCAAATTTTTTAAAAATAGATCACCCATTTTGGAAAGAAAAACAAGAGAATCTCGAAAAAATAAATGACCCCAAAAAAAAAAAATATTTAATGAAAATATTCAATATTCTTATTGGTGATAAAGATGATTTTGCATCAATAGAAGAACCCAAAGCAAGTCTTAATTTAATTGTTCAAGCCATCCAATGGAACTTTAATTATTTCATGGGCAAATGTAATGATTTTTCATTTTGTTTACCTTTCACCAAATTTTCAGCCGAAACATTCCTTTCAAATAATACCACCGAGCAATCACCTATAGCAGTAAATGACTCACCTGACCCACTACCACCACTTTTATATGGTTTCTTAATTATGGACTATGCAAATAAACCCTTATTACCAAGCATACTTTATAAACTATATACCAAATTCCCAAAGTTCTTTAGTTTTTATAGAGGAGAACTCAAAAGAGAGTTTTATAAAGAACATTCTATTTCAAATATCAAAAAGGAATATAATGAAATTGTAAACAGTTCTTATTTAACACAATTCCAATGTTCACAATTATCAAGCCAACCCACTATTCAATTTGATTTTTCAACTCAAAAGAATTTAATAACTATATCAAAAGAAATTAATAACACAGGTAATACCTTTAAGCCAATTAGAACCATTTCACCGATTCCATTTAACCACACTTCAAAACATATGATTGCCGATGATAGGGTTTTAAATTCATTAAATTCGTTTTTTTCAAATTATTATATAAATAATAAATTTAATGAACCTGCAAATAATAATAAATTAAACAATAATAGTAATAATAATAAATTTAATAACAATAATAATAATAATAATAATAATAATAGTAAATTTAATAATAGTAAATTTAATAATAGTAAATTTAATAATAATAATGATCATAAAAATAGATTAAATAATAATTATAATGGATTAAATAATTTTGGTAATAGTAACTTAAACAATATACCAAAAGAAATAGGAAAATCCCAAAATAGATTATTTTCAACTAAAAAACAATTTAATGGAAGTGTTTTATTTAAATTCAGTACAAATATTTTTAAATTAATAAAGAAACTTTAATACCATTCAAGGTAGTTGGTTAAAATAATTATTTTTAATTTTTTTTTAATTTTTTTTTAATTTTCTTTTTTTTTTTATTATTTTTTTTTTCCATTATTTTTACATTTTTTTTTTCCACTTTATTTTTTTATTTTTTATAATAATAATCAGGATATTTATATTTCCTTATTCTATATATATTTATATTTTATATATTCCATATAGTTAAATAATATAATAAACCAATTATTTGCTTGTAATATAGTTTTGTTTTTTTATTTTTTTATTTTTATTATTTATTTTAAACAAAACCCTTTTTCAAAATTTTTTATATTTATAACCATCAAACAATAATTTAGAATGGATAAAATTTCACAATACGAAAGCTTAATTGCCCAATTAGAAAAAGAAGTTAAAGAAATTGAAGCAAGACAACTTTTAAAAGAAAATGAAATTCGTTCATTAGTTGATTTAGCAATTTCATCAAAAAGTCCCAATGCCCAAATTAACAGAGATCAAATTGATAAACTTTTTAGAGAATCGGTATGTATAAAAAAAAAAAAAAAAAAAAAAAAAAAAAAAGGTAAATATATATATATTTTTTATAAAATATTAATAATCATTATTTTTATAAAAAAAAAAAAAAAGATTTCAGATTTAAAATTAAAAGCAGAAAAAATTCAAAAATTAGAAGAATATAAACAAGAAATTATTACAAGTTTATTGGTTGAACCAAAATCACCAAATGATGTAAGCATTATCAGTGTTTGGGAACAATTAAAAGTATCCTCATTTAGAAAAGTTGATAATACAAACACAGATTCAAACTATACCTATAGCAGTGTTATTTTGAATGAATCAGAAAATGAAAATTCATCCCCTGTTCAAACCAAAGCCAATAATGAAGAGGAAGAGATTATTAGATGGGAAATTGATAGAAATGAAATTTCATATAATCGTGAAGCTAAATTAGGTAGTGGTGCATTTGGTTCAGTTTATAAGGGTATTGTTAGAGGTAAAGAAGTTGCAATTAAAAAGTTAACCCAAACTGTTTTCGAAGAAAATACAATGAATGAATTTAGAAAAGAAGTTAGTTTGATGGCCAAACTCCGTAATCCACATCTCTTATTATTTATGGGTGCTTGTACCACCCCAGATGATCTATCTATTGTTACAGAACTAATGCCAAAAGGCTCAGTTCATTCACTTTTACGTGCCAAAGAAGATTCTCCAGATTTCATTACTTTCAAACGTGCAATTTTAATTGCTCGTGATACCGCTCTTGGTATGACCTGGCTCCATGCCTCCAACATTCTCCATCTCGATTTAAAACCAGCCAATCTTTTAGTTGATCAAAACTGGGTCGTTAAAGTTGCAGATTGTAAGTATTTAAAAACTTTAATACACATTCATAAAAATTTTTTAAATAATTTATTAATTTTTTTTTTTTAAAAAAATAAAGTTGGTTTAAGCAAATATATGAAAAAAGGTGCAACTCAAAGTGGTCAAGCAGGTTCACCACTATATATGGCCCCAGAAATGTTATTAAATCAACCCTATGACGAAAAAGTTGATGTTTTTTCATTTGTTATTCTTCTTTGGGAACTTTTAACAAAACAAGAACCATACAACAAATTATATAGTAGCTACCCACAATTAGTTGAAGGTGTTGTTAATAAAAAGAATAGACCAATCATACCAGATTATTTCCCATCACGTTTAAAGGATCTCTTAAATAGATGTTGGGATCATCATCCAGCCCGTCGTCCATCATTTGCTGAAATTACAAAATCAAAATTTTTAGAATCAATTTTAATCGATGGTTTAATTCTTGACCCAAGTGGCCGTCAATTTTGGGCTCAATATTATTTAGGTAAAGAAGAAGCATCATGGAACTCATTCATTATTAATTTCTCATTATTCTGTGGTTACGAATCTCATTTACACTCAGACGATATTAAACTTAAATTCCTCAAATTACTTTTAGTTCCAAGCGATAGCGATGTTGTTACAATTGATATGTTTGGTAAAATTTTAACTTGGTGTGGTCCACTTACAAATGGTAAAGATTTCTTTGAAAAGGTCTATTCAATTTGTTCCATCAAAGGTTTCCTTGGTCAAACTTCATCAAAGAATGCAAATACTTATTTAGCAGGTAAAAAACCAGGTACATATATCCTTCGTTTCAGTAGCGATCCAGGCTCATATGCTATCTCCTATTTAAATAAAAACAAAGAAATCGTCCATGCTCGTGTCATTTACAAACCAGGTTCAGGTTATATTCATCATGGTGGTCAAACTCACTATTCAACTTTGGATGATCTTATCAAAAATACATTTAAATCATTAGGTATTAAAGAACCATTTGAAGGTGGTCCATTCCATGCTTTATCGGTTGCTGCTAGTAAAGGTCCAAATTTTAATGTTGTAGGTTCATATATTGCTGTTTCAAATGGTAAAAAAATTTAAATAAAACGAAACAATTTAAAACAATTTTATATTTTTTTTATGTTTAAACATTATAATTTTATATTTAATTAAATTAATTACTTAAATTATTGTTTTTGTTTATTGTTTTTATAGTTTTATTATCGCTTAATTAAAAAATTTGAAAGTTAAAATAGGATAACAAAAACTAAAAGGGTAAAAAAGATAGAAGTAAAAAAATACTTTATTTCCAACCTATTGTATCTATTCATTACATTTTAAATTAAATTTTAAATTTTGTGCTTGTGCATCTGTGTGTGCATATATGAGAATGTTTTTTGTTTTAAAAGTATCCATTTTCATTATTCAACTTGAATCTTTCGACAATACCCGATTTAAATTAAAAATTTTATTTATATATTTTTAAAGTTAATTTTATTTAAAATTTATCAATTTTGATTTTATTAATGAAACTGGACCATTTTTTTGAATATTTATAGGTTTTAATACAATAGGTGGTTGTTTGGGTTGTTGGTAAAGCTGTGGTGATGAAATCGATCTTCTTTTTTTTGTTGAGCCAGGTGATGGAAATGGTGATAGAGGTTCATTTGGTATGATTGGTGGTGGAATTTGCTCTGATAATGTATACCTATAAAAAATGGGTGCTTTTTGATTTCTGCAATTGTTGGTGTATTATTTCTGCAATTGTTGCTATAATTGAGAGTATAAAATAACAAAATATAAAATATCCCAACCAACTGCTCCATTATAAATAATTATGATTACTTTTATTCAAGTGGTGTGGACCCCACTTTAAGTATTTTTTAAAAAAAAGAAAAAAAGAAAAAATGTAATGTGTATAGTATTACTTAAATACAATTTAAATAAATCTTTATTTAAAAAAAATATATATATAATATTATTATTTAGTTATTATTATGATTGGTTGTTTTTTTTTGGAGTTTTTTTTTTTTTTTTTTTTTTTATTTTTTTATTTTATTCTTCTTATTATAAACATTTCTTTTTTATTGAACATTTGCATAGAAACTTTTTAAAAATTTTATCTATGCTTGATTTGGTCCTTTAATTTTTTTTACTTAGAAGCAGTTAAAGTGTTGCTTAACCAATCAAGACCTAATTATTTAAAAAAAAAAAAATGTTGGTTATTAAAATGATTCAAATTTATATTATAAATGTATATTATTAATAATTACCTTCGTAAAGACCGTCACCTGAGGTGGCACAGGTTGATTGGATGTACCATTTTCTTTGACGGAGAGCGTGGAGATTGAGTTTATCTGTGACTTCAGCAACGCTCATGGCATTTGGAAGATCTTGTTTGTTACAGAAAACTAAAAGAACGGCATCACGTAATTCATCTTCATTGAGCATTTTTTGGAGTTCATCACAGGCTTCTTGAATTCTTTCTCTATCGTTTGAATCGACGACAAAGATGAGACCTTGAGTATTTTGGAAATAATGTCTCCATAATGGTCTAATTTTATCTTGACCACCGACATCCCAAACGGTAAAGTTAATGTTTTTGAATTCGACTAAAATTATGAAAAAAATAAAGTTTATATTAATATACTGAACAAATTTTGGATGAATTTAAATTATTAATTGCGAAGTAGGCAGGTATTAATTAAAATTTTAACTATTTTTCCCTCTTTTTTTCTTTTATATTTAAACTATCTATACTATAAATTTTCTATCTGGTTATACTGTTAATTGATATTATAACTTGATATACAAATGTAATTTAAATTGTTGTATTTGAAGAAAGAAAAAAAAGAAAAAAAGATAATCTGCCTATATATCGCATGTAATAACCAATTTCTTGCTGTTTTTAAACTATTAACTTACCAGTTTCGACATTGAAACCAATAGTTGGAATTGTGGTAACAATCTAAAAATGAAAATAAAAAATAGATTGTTAGTAAAAATAAAAAAAAAATACTTTAATTTTTTTTAATTACTTACTTCACCTAATTTGAGTTTGTATAAAATGGTAGTTTTACCAGCGGCATCAAGACCGACCATTAAAATTCTCATATCTTTTTTGCCAAAGAAACGGCTGAAAAGTTTACCAAAAGCGACACCCATTTTAAATTCTGTATATATAAATAAAAATAGATGATTAATATATTGAACGAACTGAATATGTAAAAAATAGTGCACAGACAATAAAAAAATTAAACTTTGTTAAAGTACAAAAAAAAAAAAATCAATCGATATATAATAGAAAAAAATAAAAAAAATAAAAATTTTGAAAAAAAAAAAATAAAAAAAAATAAAAAAAATTTTTAAAAAAAATTTAAAAAAAATATTAAAATAAAATAAAAATTATTGAAAAAAATTGGTTGAAGTTTTAAGTGATGCACAGCTGGCTTTTCTCTATATTATAAAAAAAATATTGTGTGTATATTTATTGAGTTTGTAAAAGAAACTATTTTTTGTGTTATGTGTGTGTTTAATTTTATAATAAATTGAATTTATTTCATTTCAAATTTCTTTTAAATTATAAATAAATTATAATAAAAAAGAATTGAAATATTTTTTTAAAAAATTCTATTTTTATAATCTTACATTTAAAAAAAAAAAAAAAAAAATTTATAGTTTTATTGTAATTTTAGTGATATATAATTTGTTTTTACTGTATTTAAAATTAAATAATATACCAATTGAATGATATTAAAAAAATTTTAAT